TTGTACTAAAATCGCTATTGTGAGTAGGTATATTTCTTCCGCATATCATGGGATACCTCTTTTGCTAGTTCCAAAACGTCATTTTAAAGCTGGTAATGGAGGCTTGAGCCGTTGATAGTATTCTAATGCAGTTATTAGAAAGAGAGCGAGAGAGACAGACACACAGAGAAAGAGAAAGAAAGAAAGAGAGAGAGAGAGCTCGGTGCATCTCTTTTTTTTTTAGAACCAATCCGATCCGATACTGAAAATTCTGAGTATCGGTCAATACAGATACCGATCCGATACCAGTACATTGTTTTTAAATCAATGTAGAATTAATGTACTTCTGTGTGTTGACCTGATCGTTACTTCTTTTGTGTGTTAAACACAATCTACTAAATATAGACAACTTAATTTGAATAAAAAATAACAAATAAAAAAATATATATAATCATAATCTATGAAAATAATACTATTATAAACTAGGTTAGGTTATTCTAGAAAAATCATGAGTGCACAATTTTATAAATTGTAAACATTTACTGAAGTAACATTAGTGGGGAACAAATAAAAGTGAGTAAGTGTAGGACTAAATCTGGTATACATTGCTCTTTGTACTATAGTAAAATACATTAATGAAAAACCAGTAAATATATTTATATATAAACGCTATATAGCCTACTATAAACTTAAAATACATTTCTTTTAAATGTACAGCAGTAATGAGACTGCAACATATGATAGATAGGAGTCATATCTATCATATGTTGCTGCCTCCATTACTGTGCTATACATTAAATTATTAATAGCTTTCTTGATCTGTCCTATCATGCGCAAAAGTATTATAATATAGTATGAGAGGCTCAATCCAGAGCAGCCCAAAGCGCTAATGCGCATCCCGTGCGCAGAATGATGCGCTTGAAGCAACACGGAGTCACAGCGCGCAGCTCTCCACGTAGAAAAGTTCAAAGCAGAAAGAGAAGAGCTATTGATGCGTAGTGTATTAAATCTGTTCTGTAGTGTATTGAGCCTTTTCTTTTAACAGTTTTAAACTTCATTTACTGTGCGCTCTTGGAGGGAGTTTCATCGTCTTGACTGTCGTAACCTAACGTGACACGCAGCTTGAATGCTGTCCGCTCTGTGTGTGTGTGGGGAGACGCTGCCTGAGCCCCGCCTCCGCCACAGAGAGCAGACAAGATGACAGAGGCAGCGCGATAGAATAAAAAGTTGGTGACATTCATTTTTATGTAAAAAATATAAATCATTATTTTGAATTATAAAAAAAAAAGATCAGTCGCAATATATCGCGGCACCAAAAATTATCGCGCTCATTTCCATATATCGCGCGATAAGACGATATATTGATAATCGCGACAGGCCTAACTGTATGCTAATTTCAGTTATTACAGTTAACTATGCGAAGTGATATGGAACTGTAATGCGGTCAAGAGAGCTGCCTGGAACTACGTTCGCCGTGCGTTTCCTTGAAAATAATTGCACACCTCAGAACGTTTGTCAGCCAATCAGAATCAAGCATTCAACGGCCCCGTAGTATAAATCTGATTATTAGATAGACTTATATCCATATTAGACAGAACTGAACGACGACAGTGAACAAGAGGGAGAATGTGAGCGGCTGCCGTTCTCAGCGCCGTCAAAATAAAAGTCCCGCCTCGAACACATCAGCCAAACAGAAAAACTTATCGGCCGATGCCGATATTTGAAAAATGCCAAATATCGGCCGATATATCGGCATTGGCGATATATCGGTCGACCACTATTCTGGAGGCTTGTGAAGATCATTCCTCCGCTGAGGAACAGTGAAAGTAAAGCTTCTGGAAACAAACGCTCCTCAAAAGATCCTGATAATCAGATTTGAGACTAAAAAATTATTGATGGAGAATCAAGTAAAGCCGAGCTGCTTCAGTCCAGTAAGTGTTCATCTGGAAATATGACTAGTTATTCCGACGTTTACTTGATAAAAATCAGTCAAGATTTGACAGCAGAAAGACACGTGAAGCACCAGCAGAAGGAGACGTTTGTACAATTAGACTAAAAGCTGAGCTGACTTGATAAAGAAGTCTAAACTATCTAAATTAGACATCAGAAAGCATGGAGTAGATTGTGTGCAATGGGTTTTTCTGCAAAGGTTTGAACATGTTGATCATTTAGAGGCCTTAGAAATTCATGCATCAAATATGATACAGTATGCTTTATAGGGTTAAATCACTGGCATTTCAAGTGCCACCGATTGAAGACAGAGAGAAATACAATGTTTATCATTGCATTTTGCGGTCAAATCTTTATTACACTACAGTAGTGTATTGTACTTCATTTTGTGCAAAACGGGGAAATATGTTTTCATGTAGCTTTCTGGTGATTACATACATGAATGCATATAAACATGCACTGAACAGACAGAAAGGGAGCGAAGGGTCGTTCAATTACCTTGACACAGATTCCACATCCAATGCAGAGAGACTCTGAGATCCAGGCGATTTTACTCTGAGGTGTGACCTCGATACACAGCTTTCCTGAGAAAACACATGAAAACACATGAGTGACGCGGCTAACCTGCGCCGAAAATGAAATCTGGTGTCTTCAGCGTGCGATTCTTACCCATGCGCACTACCGGACAGCTCTTCTTGCACTCTTGGCGGCATTTCTTAGGCTTACACTTGTCATGGTTCACAATAGCGATTCTGGTGTTCTTGTCGGCCATTTGGCTGGTTTGATGTCGCACACCGGCGACGCTGATCTAAAGGAACCGAGGAGGTCTAGATCTCACTAGAAAGAGAGAGATAAAGATTGATGCCAACAAAACAAACTAATAATTAGGGTTGCATGATATATTGAAATATTGCAAATGTACAAATCGCAATATGCATATCACAACTGCTTGCAATTACTGAATAATTGTAATAGGTTAATAATTTTGTAATAGACAAAATAGATTTTAATTGTTACGAAAAGAGTTTTAGGTCATGCCAAATTGTCTTTGATCTTTCAAGCTGTTTCATGGCACTCAGCGGGTGTTGCATGCATCAGTCCAAAAGCACTTAATTAAAATGCGCCCATCCATAAAAAAAAAAAATAAGTGTCTCACATGGCTCCGGGGGGAGAACAAAGGCCTTCTGTAGTGAATTGATGTGTTTTTGTAAAAAAAAATATCTATATTCAAAACGTAATAATCACTTTAATTTAGCTTGCACTCACTTATGACGTATGAGTTCAGCGCTGCGCATGCGCCGCTCAGAAGTGACGAACACAGAAGCGCAGCGGAGAGCTCAAAACAAAACAACGGTAAATGGATATTTTTCTTACAAAAACGCATCGATTCGCTACAGAAGCCCTTTGTTCACCCCCCCGGAGCCATGTGAGACACTTTCAGCTACCGGAGTCAGCTTTGACTGATCACAGGTCGAGAATAAAGAGAGACGACTGACAAGACCATGCTGGAGTATTTGATTCTGAGCTCATTGACAAATATCTGATCTTGTAAGATGTGTTCCCTTTAGAATGTTTAAAGGAGTGGACATGAAAATCGCGGGAGCGAAACACATGTTGCAGGAGCAGGCGGCAATGGTCAGAGATTCAGCGGGAGTGGGAATAAGAAGACAGCCGAATCCCTGATATTTTGGGCAATTAATAAATCCCGGCCGGACGCATTTTTGTAGGTCCAAAAAGAAGACATGTCCGGGGAAAAGAGGATGTATGGGTCACCCTAATTTATAATCGATGTATTCTTTTTAAAGTAGCCTATGGAACTTATTTTCTGCCTTTTTCTGTGACAAGAAGCCTCATCAGATCACAAAAGGAAGCATTTGACTGGTGTTGTGGAGTAAAAAGGTTATAATTTTCTCTTTTGTTGGACAACAGGTTTAGAAATGTGAATACAAGGGAGGTTTAGCTTTAGGCATTTTAATTTAAGCATGTTTAGCTTAGTTAACGGAAGGCTACCTGCTGCCATCAGAGCAAGTGTAATTACTGCATTCACGCACTCCTCGAATGCTCTCATTTCCCGAGTTGTGCTTTTAAGTCGGAATGTGAAAACAACATGGACACTCTCGTTACTACAAAGATGTGTTGGATTTGTATTATTAGAGCTTTCCGACTTGAGTTCACGTGCATTTTTTCTCAGTCGGGAAATTCTTTTTCATGTGCGTTGCCGCGATGATGTTTCTTACGTCCGTTTCGGAGAACCAGAGGACAAATATTTCAATCGATCACTCAGGCATGGCACCGAAATGAGGCACCGAAATCTGCGTTCGGATTCGGTTCTAGTACATACCAGTTACATAGGTACCGGTGCTATATTGGTACCGGGTTTCGGTACCCAACCCTAAATATAACTCCGACTGGATTTGTCTGAAAGAAGAAAGTCATATACACCTAGTATGCCTTGAGAGTGAGTAATTTATGGGCTAATTTTCATTTTTGGGTGAACTAACCCTTTAAAGTGACAGCAGACTAATAGTACTAAACATACTAGTACACATACACACATATACACATAATAGTACTGTTCGGAGAACCAGAGGACAAATATTTCAATCGATCACTCAGGCATGGCACCGAAATGAGGCACCGAAATCTGCGTTCGGATTCGGTTCTAGTACATACCAGTTACATAGGTACCGGTGCTATATTGGTACCGGGTTTCGGTACCCAACCCTAAATATAACTCCGACTGGATTTGTCTGAAAGAAGAAAGTCATATACACCTAGTATGCCTTGAGAGTGAGTAATTTATGGGCTAATTTTCATTTTTGGGTGAACTAACCCTTTAAAGTGACAGCAGACTAATAGTACTAAACATACTAGTACACATATACACATATACACATAATAGTACTGTCATTATTTATTCACTCACATGTTGTCCCAAACCTTTATTAATTTCTTTCTTGTGCTGAATGCAAAAAGATATTTTGGGTAACCAAAAAGTTGCTGAACCCCATTAACTTTGATAGAAGAAAAACAAAATACTATGGAAGTCACTGGGGACCAGCAACCTATTGCTTACCCACATTCTTCAAAATAACTTTTACATTAAACAGAAGAAACTCATTCAGGTTTAAAACAACTTGCGAGTGAATAAATGATGACAGAATTTTCAGCAGTTTGGACATGAATGAAGAGAGAGAACCTGCACTTAACCTTTTCTCACAGGCATTTTGTTTTCATAGTTAGACAGCTATTGTGATTAGGGGTGTAACGATTCACTCGTTTTCTTGATGCATCGATTACAAACCCTGACGATGCAATGCATCGATCTTGAAACATGGATTTTTGAATCGTGAATTGTCGATTTCGGACAGTAATCGATTTAAAACACTAAGAATCTATAATCGATTCTAATCGATTTCTATAGCGATTCAATGCTTTCAAAATATATACACATTAAATTACTACAAGCACGAATTAATGGAGACCCTGAACAGTGTTCGTGCCTCGCGTCTCTCCTTCACGCGCTCCACTATTTACCGCCTGTGACTGTCACAGCATTGCGCTCGCGCTCCGTTCGTCTCACTGACGCAGCTGGTGTGTGATCTCTCCTTAGTACTCGAGGCCAGTAATGCTAAAGTGAAGTAGTTTTACTTTTCTGTAGTTTTTCAATAGCTCTCGGTTATACCGACGACATTACCTGAGCAGTCGAAGGCTGCGCATTTATTGCATGGACGGAGCAAAAATGTGTCTAAAGCATAGGCACAGTTCCATTGAATGTTAAATGTGTTTTAACAATGTTGTTAAACCGAATGTACGAAGGAAACTTAAAACAACCCACAGCATTAACAACAACCTTGAAATAAGAGCGAGAGGTTTATCTGATAATCAGATGCATGATAGTAGCGTTCGTTGCTACAGCAAACAGACATCAGGCACATTTTCTTTCAGAATCATAATTTGCAGATGGAGAGGAAAAGGTAATAACTATAGCATTTTATTTTATGAAAATGAGATAAAAAAGTTTTCTCACTGAAAGAGAAGTGATCTCGTTCTCATAGACGTGTCAGGCTATATCTGCAGCTAAACTGTATAAAAAGCAGAATGAACTGAAACTTTAAGACAATAAAAACAACAAATAAATACAATTTATGAATGATGCAGTGCTAATTGACAATTTATTACAGTAGCCTACAGAAACTATAAAGTATATATATTTTTTTACCTTATTCTGTGCAGAAAATTGAAAGAATTGTTTGTAGTATATAAAACAATCATAAAATTGCCATTAGGAAAAAATAATAGATTACAAATGATTGATTATTGTCCAGCAGTGTATTTGATTTCTTATAGCAAATTCAAAGTAAGAGATAATAAAAGTATTCCTTGTAAAAAAAATTAAAATAAAATAATAATACATACTAGAGCCCGACCGATATATGAGCCTGTCGCCGATATATCGGTATCAGCGAATATGCCACCGATATGATCAATTTTTTTTTACATAACATATAACGCAGCTGTTTTCACCACTGGTTCTCAAACCCTCGCCCAGGAGTGGTGTAGGAAGTTGCAGCCACATGTCTCGTGCTTGATGCTCGGGACTTGCCAGTGCATTAGTAAAATGTTAATCTTTTTATTTTTCTGTTAATAAAACCAGGATTTTCATGTTGTTGCTGTACTGCGTCACAGAAGTGGACGGATAGCCTTTGATGACTCGACTGAAGCTATTCTGGTGCTTTGTCTTTCGTAGGACACATGAGAGCTCCTTTGCTCTTCAGAGGCTCAGGGGATGATCTGTGCAACTGTAATATACTTGTGTAATGCAACTGAGATTCACTGTAATTTCTGCACTGTCAATTAAGCATAAATTGAAGTGAGATTTGCGACTCATTTAGACTGAATGGATGGCTCATTTTTAACAGCAGATTCAGTGACGTTAGAGACTAGAGCAGATCTGCGCATCACGGCACGCGCCTGCGGCGCATTAAAGCCTGTGTTACAGCCACCAGAGCTGATCGCGGCTGGACTGGTGTTTATACCGGACGAGCCGCGGCCCAGAACTCATGCTTATCACGTCGGTCACATCACATCACGCGGCGCGCATCCGGTGTATGTTGTCTACACTGGATGCAGTAAACTGATGCCTCATTCTATTTATGACGTGCTGAGTGCGGACACAAAGTTCAAATGATTTTCAATGGTCGCGTCCTGTTGCGGCGCAGACACGGTGTCAGCATAGTTTGTCAGTACAGTCAGTAACGTAGCAGATTGAAAAGTTAGTATCTTTCTGCAGTCCAATAGACGGCAGTGCGGTGGTGGCTTGTGTCTGTTGAATGGTGATTTAACGCTACGTTGACACCTAGTTGGAGAGACTCAATGCTAAGTAAATAAACAATGTCCCCGTCTTTTACTCTCACAATGAGCTTATCATATTCGTTTGCTACATTAGTAGGGCCCTATGATTTCCGCGATGCAGAAAACATGGACGGAATCGTGGAATCCAGTCATAAAAATGGAATTGACTGTAGAACGCGGAATTTCATGGAATTCGTCTTATTTTTGATGAATTAATAAAAAACAGGTCAGTACACATATATATTAGGGATGCACCGATACCACTTTTTCCAGTACTCGCCCG